CCAGTTCATTTCACCTAATGTCAATATGGACCATTTGACTTGGGGATGGTGATGTGGCATAGTAGGTAAAGCCAGCACCTATGTTCCATATAGGTGCTATCTTGAGTCCTGGCTGCTCCTCTTCTTTTTATCTTATTTTATTTTATTTTTATTTTATTTTATTTTTATATAGTTGATCAGGGTGATAAGGGTCAAGGGCTACAGGAAGGTGGGTGACATCACCATTTCCACATTCTCTCTTTTTTACTTCCTGTATCTGGGGGAGGGGAGATAAGGAGAGAAGCCATACCCAACCTCTCAAATACTTCCGTAGCCTTGGATGGAGGGCAGTCAACCAACACTACCCCAGGGTCTGCAATGTGGGGCATGCTCTGAGGTGCAGCTTAAAAGGTTTCCATAGTTCAACAGTTCTGAATTACTGCCAATCTTTCCACTCCAAGCACGATGAACTCTGTCCAGAATCCATTGGCTCATGGAGTCCACCCTAGAATCTCCATTTGCCCAAGATAGTCACTGCTGACACTTGGCCAGGGTAGTTGATTGATTTGTTCTGTCCTCCATCTTCTGTTGTGGTACCCAGTGTTCTCTGCAGACTCCAATGTACTGCCCTATCCTCCACACGCACCTGGATATGCTGTCCACTGCTCCATCTAAGCCACTGGACAGTCCCAGCTCTGACACATGCACTGCATTATCAGAACACGGAACCTGCAATTCTCTCCAGGATTGGGGTTCTGAGTCCAGCGATTCAGTTGGGAGGATCCCCAAAGAAACTTCATCTGAGGCGATCCCAGGTCTGATTCTTGTGTGTGCTTGTCAATACTGGGTCCGGTACAGTCCATCGCTCCAATCAGCTTATGCATATGTTGGTGATTACACTTGCTGGGTCAGTTCTGTTTCCAGCCCTGTCTCTGCACAAACCAGTGGGTGTTACAACCCGATCCTGCCCACCACACAGTTGGCCTTCACATATGCCAGTGGGAGTGGCCGCTTAGTCAGAGTTAGCCACAATAATTACCACCAGGACTACCTCCTGCCTTGATTCCAGTGCTTGCCAGTATGTACAGCACACTGGTCCAGTCTGTCCCACATCCCATTTAGCTCTAATACATATCAATGGGCATTAAAACCTAGTTCAACCCAACCAACCTCACTATCCAGTCCACACATGTGCCAGCAGGTGCCACTCTCTGTCTAGTCATGCCTGCCCTAGTTCTGGTTCTCATGCTCACCAGTCAGAGTGGCAACACAAGAAGGAGGTGCTCACTGTTTCCTACCGGGGCCATTCCAAATCCCAGATCATGCACTTTCCAGTGGTTCTGCAGTTTAACTTGACAGAATTTGCCCCCATGCCAGCATCTGCCAGCTAATGCTGTGGCAAGGCCCAACCAACCCCCACACACTCTGGCTTATGCATGCACCAGAAGAAACAGTCAACCTAGCCTGGCATTTCCCTGAACTAGCTCACATAAGGCCCACAGGAGTTATAGTCCTGCTTGGCCTTGTCTGCCCCCATCCCAACTCATGTTCTTCAGTGGTAGTGGTGGTCCAGCAAAGTAGTCCCTTGTAGCTCCTCTACTGCCTTCACTATCCCTCCCCCCTTGCTCTCACATGTGCTGATTGGGTGCTGCGTCCCCATCCAGCATGGACCGCCTCACCTAGGCATTTGCCAGTGGATATTGTGGCCTGGACAGGCGAGGTCCAGCCCCAATTCCAGCTCACATGGGTGGGGACTACAGGTTGCTCCCTTTTTGACCCAGCTTCCTGCTAATGGTCTGGGAAAATCAGTGAAAGTTGGATCAAGTGCTGGAGTCCTTGCCACTCACATTGGAGACCTAGCTAAAGCTCCTGGCTCCAGGCTATTGTGACCATTTGTGCAAGTAATCAGCAGATGGAAGGGTTCTTTCTCTATCTCCCTCTAACTCTCAATTTCCAATAAATAGTGCTGCTAAAAAAATTGATTCCAGTTAGTATCTGCAAAATTTTAAGGCCAGTAATATAGTTTTCCTTATAACTTTGATGATTGACTATCCTGTTCTCCTTAGCAGATTTCAGAATCTTGAAGCATAAATTATTGTCTTGTTCTCTGGTGTCAAGTAAGCCCTGAGAACACATTGTATATGTCACATATGTGCGACTGGTACTTGCATACTGCTGAGCTGGAATTAGCAAGCCTTCAAGACTACACAGTCAGTGAAGAGTAGCATCAATTGTGTATGTGTGTGTGTGTGTGTGCGTGTGTGTGTGTACTTCCTCACAATTGATCTCGTGGAATTTTTTTTTTTCTCAAAAAAAATTGAAGTGTCTAACTACAATGACAAATTGGCCAAACATTTGGGGTCTCCGTCAAATATTTATATGGCGAAACTTTTCTGATTCAGTGGTTTGAATTCAAGAAAGTTAGACCTGGCTGTATTTGGCACAGAAGGGATCTTATCCATTTCAACTCTAAACTCTGATTTCTCTGTCCAGAAGAGTAAACATGGGTTGTATAGTCAAAAAAAAAAAAAAAAAAAAAAAAAAAACCAAATCGCAGTGTTTCCTGCTTATCTCGGTGGAATTGTACCTGTGATGATTGCCATAAAATTGAAACAAGAGGGGCCAGCATTTTGGAGAAATTAGAGCTTCGGCCTAACAATGCTGGCATCCCATATGGGCACTGGTTCATGCCTCAGCTGCTCCACTTATGATCCGTCTCCCTGCTGAACTGCCTGAGATAGCGCAAGTGCGGGGGTCCCTAGTATAACCATCAGAGACCTGATGAAGTTCCTGGCTCAGGCCGGGCCATTGTCGCCATTTGTAGGGACAATCGGTGGATGGAAGATCTCTTTCTTTGTGTCTTTCCTTCTCTCTTTCTCTGTAGCTCTAACTCTCAAATAAATAAGAAGTGAGAATACGTTATAAAGGATGCAAAATGCCTATTCTTGAAAGTCCTTAATCAACTGAGTTTGTGGCAGTATATGTTGTTTAACCCTGAAAAGGTTGAACTCAGCTTTAAGGGGCAAAAACTGAAAAAACTGTGAAACTCAGGTAGCTATACCAACCAAGCACTAGGCAATGGTTTTGCAAGTATGGCAGCATGACTGATGGCATGATCAGAAGTTGATTATTCCTGATTTAATACATGAAAAAAATGCAATTCAATTAAGTGGTACATCTAAAAAGCATGGAATTTAAACAGAGATTGACGTAGCATCCTTCTCTATCTATGTTCTGTGTGTGGCCACTCCGATGCCCACTGCATTTGAAAGCTTACATTTTGATAATTTCAGCCAGACAAATTAGCTCAACAATCAGCAATAACAAGGAATGAAGAAACATTAAAGAATTAGGTCGTGTAAAGGAGCAGGAGAGGCTGACAGCATCTGACAGGAAGAGCATCCTCCTTCCTCACTCTTCATGGCAGGAGCCGACAGAGCAGCTTTCCCTGGTTAGGGAGAAGGCAGTGTCTGCAGCACACAGGATGAATCTGTCCACTCCTGGCTCCCATCGCCTCTTCCCCCGCTCCCTGGGGCTGTTCTAGCAGCTGCAGGTTATTTTTCCAACAATCAACTCGGTGTTTTTGAACAGTACAAAATGAATGAGCGTGCCATTTCTGTAAATGTATAATATATAATCAATCTGCAGAGAACTGCTTTGAGACTTGGACATTTTCACTTTCCTTACACTGTCACCAACCGTAAAGGAGTTTACTGAGATCGAATTTTCCAGTTTACAGAGTGTGCAATTTTAATTTTCAATGAGGCTTCTTAAAACTAGATCTATTCCCACCTTGGTAAATTTCTCTTGAGTCATAAAAACTAAAAGGACGTAAAAATCTTTATTTTTTTTTTTCTGAGTGTAACAAGAAGCAGCATAATAATGGAAGCACAGCATTTCGTGTGTTCCTGTCCCAGAGGCACCACGAGGCAGACCAGGAGCTGTCAATGGCCCTAAGGAGTCATGCTCCAGAGGGGCGGCCAGTCAGCTAGAGGCTGCGAGGGTGCGACGGCAACTGCAGTGGTGACCGCAGCTCACGTCCGTGATCTGCGTGGATGGCAGCCATGGAGCACCGCAGGTGGTCTGTTTCAGTAAACCCTGCGACACCTCAGGGAGCTCCTGGTGAAGCTCTGGGCTGTAAGGAACTTTCCTCAACCCATACACTTAGTAGCATCCCAAAGTAAGTCTTCTTAGCTGGAGAAGTGTTCTGCTGGAGTGTGAATAACCATGGTTACTTACAGTATGACAGAAAAACACAAGCATTCAAAGCACGTGTTTGTATATGCACATCCACACCCACCCACACCCCCCCACACATTCACATACATACACACATATACAATTATGCTAAAAGCTTTCCCAAAGCAGTATCTTTTTCCTCTTTCGCCTTCCTCTCTTCCTCATTCTTCCCTCCTCTACTTTACTTTATTTTTATTTTGTGATACAGTTTCATAGGCTCTGGGATTTTCCTTCACCTCCCCAAGTTCCTTCCTCCTCCACCTTTTGATCCAGTATCCTACAGTCAGGACATATTCACTGATTTCATTGGGAGTCTGTCTTTGGTCTGGATACAGAGATGCACACTGCATTATGTCTTTACATTTGGACACATCAGATCTAAACTCATGATTTGAGCCCCCTCTAATTCCTTATGGCCAGAATGTCCATCAGCTCATGAAGTGTGCTACCAAGGGGACAACCACAGCTACATGGCTGGATCTGACCTCATCTGCCAATGAGGACGCTAAACCAGGTGTTGGTTGCCTGCATGCAACAGGGAATATTTCAACCTAGTTGAAACTTCTCATTCAAGATGTTTTCTTCATCTTATTTCTGTTAGTGCCTGTAATGATTACACTGACATGGGGGCCAAGGATCAAACAAGAACACATCTAGTTCATCTCCACACCATTGCCCAGGGGGCGCCTCAGAGGCAGGGCCTCCGGATCCCAAACCACATCTAAGGAAGACAGGCCTCCCACCGCAGCTGGGAGCTGCAGCGCCACTGCAGGATCACTCACCGCAGGCATCCACTCTGGGAGGAGGCACTCTCCACGTAGTGCTTCAGGGCAAGTTGGAATTCTTCCAGCTCCTCTTCTATCACCGACATCTGGCGCTGCACCAGCATGACGTGCTGCTCAGGAAGAGGCAAGGGTTAACACGCTGGCCACCATGAGCCTCGTTTAAGCTGACCCCTACTGCCCATCCCCTCGCTCCTCTTGAATCAAATGATCATCATCCATAAAACGGCATTTGTCAAGAGAGGCCATGCCTGTTCCAAGTACAAAGCTAAATAAAAGCTTTGACAGAGGTAGGATTTTTTTTTCTTGTCTCTCATAACAGGAACTAATGAAAGTGGCTTTCACAGTGAGACATTTCACTTATGTTTAAAATCAGTGTTTCACAATTAGATTCTGTGAGAAGAATTGAAAATCACTTTCAGATCAGAATCTTTAGTGTGGGGCCAGCCTTTATTGTTATTATTATTATTATTATTATTATCATTATTATTAGAAAGACAGTTTTACAGAAAGAAGGAGAGCTAGAAAGAAAGATCTTCCATCTGCTGGTTCATGCCCCAAGTGGCTGCAGTGGCCGGAGCTGAGCCAATCCAAAGCCAGGAGCAAGGAGCTTCTTCCAGGTCTCCCACATATGGGCACAGGGTTGATTGCTTTCCCAGGTCACAAACAAAGAGCTGGACGGGAAGTGGAGCAGCTGGGACACAAACCAGCACACACCTGGGATGTTGGTGCTTACAAGTGGAAGACAAGTTGAGATATCGTGTTGGCCCAAGGCTACAATAGTTTTAAAATGTCTTTAAGTGTTTCTTTTTAATGTGCAGCCAAGATGTGAGCACCACACTTGAGTCATTTACCAGTTTTTAAAGAAAAGTTCTACTGTCCACTCCACAGTACCTTCTTTTCCTGGAATATTCTATGATGGTAAACACATCGCAACAGCCATTATAATCACATTTCAAAAACTATGTTCACCAGTGCATTTCCAAAACCCCATCCACTATTAGGAGGTTCTCAAGCATGTTAAGCCATTAGGTTTGACCTCATTCAAGATGTCCTAGCATTCGAGCAGCCTGTGTGTAATGGAGCAGACTGGGTTGGGTGGAAACTGCTCACGGCCACAGATCTTATCTCTGTCCCAGCAGTTGCAGCTTCAAGGTGCCCATGAAGCTTTGCCTTTGGGAATTTCACGGGATTTTAGATCTTGACAATAGCCTGTCCTTCTCTTCAAAGACTGAGTGGCTGAAATTATAACAGCACAAATAGATGTAAAGGGTTGGTAGAAATCATGAAAGTACAAGATAATGCAAAGGTAATGTTGAATATGAAGCAATAGACACTTAATATATTCCACAAACTGCTTCCACTTCAGGTAAATACTTGGTATGTGACTCTGCATTTCTAGGGATGGATCAAGAAAGAATTCTTATCTTCATGGAGCATAGTGAAGAAATAAACAACGGGAGAAACTAGGTCTTGATAAACACACTAGTTATAGCACTGGCACATGAAACTGACTCTAAATTGATTAGAATTCTGCAGAATTCAGAAAACTATTGCCAAACAAAGTCTCAACCCCAGTCTCAAAGCATTGTGACTGTTTTGAGCTTTGTAATAATGTTTGGATCACAGACTTCCACGAGCCGGAAGCAGTCTAAGATAACTAGCGTTAGTACTCTCCAGCGGGCTGCTCGGCTCTCAGGGTGGATTATGGGCCAAGGACAATCTTTCAAAAGAACAAAGCACAGTGTGGCTTCTCCCAGAATAGAGACCCAGGGTCTAATCAAAACTACCCTCATTGAAAAAACACTTTCTCAGCATGAATTCCGTGTTGCAATCGACCTGTGAAAGGCACACACTTCCCACTCACCCCCTTTCCCAGTGATGCTTATCTTGGCTCAGTTGCATCGTGTGTTTGTGTCCCTGTGTGTCGAGGGAGATAACTTTCTTGATTTTAAAAAAAATTTGTGAGTCCACAAGGGACCACATCCTGAACTTATGGGACTGAGCACAACCCACAGGCTTTAGATTGTGAACAGGAAGCAATAATGGGAAGAAACTTTAGATGGTTTCTCTTGCACAGAGATAGCTCTGTGAGGTCTATATGTGGAAGCAACGATGTAAGTGAATATTTGATGACACGAGGTTAGACTCCAGCAGAAACTGTACTCTGTCCATTCCTCTTCTTTCTAGACACATGGCCAAGATTCTATTCCATCTTTCTTTGAAGTCTGGTGTAACCACCTACTGAATTCTCATAGAGTATGAACAGAAGTACTAGGTGGTACTTTGGTGTCCAGACCCTTAAGAAGGAAGTTAGCATTCCCATGTCCTCATTTATATAGATGAGATGGAGACCAAGCTGAAGGGCATCAGAAGCACAGATGACAGGACTCTGTGGTCTTGAATCACTGGGATGCTTACGGAGCTGCAGTCTTACCCAGCCTGGTCCACCCACGGTGGCTCTCCTTCATCAGTGGGAGCTGCAGCCCAGCAGGGGACTCCCCAGATTTCCTCCACCCAGCCCATTTCCAGTTGGGTCGTCTGTGTGCTGGCAGTGCTTCAACCCAGGAAGGCATGGCCAGCCTGCAGTCTCAGCTCTAGCTGGTGGTTGGTACAGCCTAGCCCAACTAGGTGCAGCTCACACCCTATCCTGATTCTTGTGCATAGCAGCGGCTGCTATGGCCTGGCCTAGCCTGGCCTGTTTCCAGCCCTCACACAAATGCTGAAGAGTGCTACAGACTTGGTTGGCCTGTTCTCAACCCCAGCTCTGCAGTGGGAGCTGCAACATAGTGTGTGTGGGGGGGGGGCGGGGGGAGTGATTCCCTAAGTTCTCCTACAGGTTTGCTTCCAGCACCAGATCTCATGCATGCCAGTGGGAGGAGTGGCCCTGCTTGGCATGGTCTGCACTCAGTTCCAGTCCTTCCATGTGCTAGTGGGTGCTGCAGCCTGGCTCGCTAGCCTTCTCCCAGCCCCAGCTCCTGCAAAGATCAGGTGGGTTCCTATCAGGTGCGTTTAGTGGTCCAGCCTGAATCAGCCCATCACCACCTCCACTCTCTGTAAACCAGTGGGTGCTGCCGTCCCTCTGAGGTGAGCTCACAATTCCCCTACAGAATCTGTCCCCAGATCTGGTTCTCTTGCATTCTGACTGGTGCTGTGGCCCAGCCTGACATGGCCTACTCCCCGTTTCAACATTCACAGGTGAGTATTGTAGCCCAGCCCAATCATACATACCTCTCAGCTCCAGTTTTTCTGAGTCAATAACCAGAGGGTGACACTATTTAGCCCAGCCCAGGTCTCCCATATGGGCTGGTGCTTTGGCATGCCCTCTGGTTTCTCCCATTTAAACCATCCCATCTCAGCTCCTTATCCTACGTGCAAGTATAGTGACCCAGCTGTGGAGGACCCCAAAGTCAGTCCTTCCCTCTCCAACATGCCCTCAGCTGCTGTCACTCCAATCCTCACACCAGCTTCCCCTGGTGGGAGGAGTGGTGTATCCCTGCCCAGTTCCCTGCCTCCCCCATTTATCTTTAAACAAGGGGGGGGGGAGTAAATAAGCAGCTATGCTGGCACACAGGTGTAATAAACATAAATTTGGCTTTAAGAAGGCCCAGAATGCCTGCCAGCTTTTCTCCAAGCAACGGCACACTTGCCTAGGTACCATGCAACCTAGGCAGTGCCTGTAGCTGGGAATCCTAAGGTCCTGTGGTAAATAATTGGTCCTCTGTATGATCCTCATGCAACAGTTTTTGTCTATATATATATACATTTATTTATAAAGAGAAGGAGAAACAGAGGAAAAGATCTTTCATCCTTCGATTCACTTTCCAAGTGGCCACAATGGCTAGAACTGAGCCCATCTGAGCCCATCTGAAGCCAGGAACCAGGAGCTTCTTCTGGATCTCCCATATGGGTGCAGGGTCCCAAGGCTTTGGGTCATCCTCCACTGCTTTCCCAGGCCACAAACAGGGAGCTGGAAGGGAAGTAGGGCCATCAGAATAAGAACCAGTGATCATATGGGATCCTGGCACATACAAGGTGAGGACTTTAGCCACTAGGCTACTGTGCTGAGCCCCATGCACCAGGGTTTAACATGAACAGATAAATGGAATAAAGCAGGCATGCTCTTTTTTTAGACTTACAAGATTTTTTGATCAGGTATTTGTGATGAACAATGACTCAAGTGATTCTCCTAGTCTTTCCTCATGAAATATTTAAATATATTCCATTAGTCCACAATTAATAATAATAAACAATAATTTTAGTCTGAAAGTAATTCTCACATGATCCAGGAAATCTGATAAAAAAAAAATGGGCCAGAACCCTTCACTACTCCTTGAATCCAAGCCCTTTGGAATCTGACCTTTTATTCTCCACAACAAGAAAGAACCTGTTTCCCTCCCCTTGTCCTTCTAACTTACCTTGGCCAACAGAATGTGGCAAAATTGCATATGTCAGTTTAAAGTTAGGCCCCAAGAGGCCGGTGATTTTCCAACCTTGATCTTCATTCTTAATATTGTCATGTGAACAAGACCTGCGATAGCATGGGTCAGACAACTTTTTCTCTACACGAAGATAAAAAATATTTAATGCCTTGTGTGTCACAGGATTGTAACTATGCCACATCTGTTACTATAATGTGAGTTGCTGTAAACCATATGTAAGGAAATGAGCGTGGCTGTGTCGCAATGAAGCTATTTACACAAAAACAGATTGGTAGGCTGCAGTTTGCCAATGTGTGAAATGGAGAATTAAAGACTACAGAGGGCATCAGTGAACCCCTAGACATAAGAGAAATTCAAAATCAGCAAAATGACATGCAGGTGACTAACACGCCATGGGAGATCATGAGTCCTACATTGCCCACCTACAAAACTGTAGCTGTCAAGTTAAGCCACTACAATTTGGGATGCTGTGTCAGGTAACAACAGTTAACAATGACAGTGCTATATAGCAACATCCACATATAAATGAATCTACTATGCACTTATAAGCATTGATATGGGTATAATTTGGAAAAGTTAAACTACTTGAGTCCTAGATTTTGCAACGCAAAGAAGGCAAATCTTTTCACTACTTTTCTCAGACATTTAGCTAAATAAGTTGATGAGGCCCA